CTAAATTCAAAACCATGAAGAAAACAATTGCAAAGCATTCCACGATCTTTCCCAAGAACGTATAGCAATTCATAAATGATAATAAAAAAGAAATTGTGGAGAGCTTTGATCCCCTATGTCATGAAGGGGAGATGGCATTAAAAAATATTAGCATAGTCAGTATTCATTGACTGAGCAACCAGTGTCACTGTCAGTTGAAATTTATAAAACCAATTAATATAACATTTTAAAATTTTATAAAAATGTATTTTTCTGTGATGAGCATTAATGGATTAATTTTCTCTTTTTAATCATTTCTCCCAATACAAGATGACAACAGACACTAAGACGGAAGGGGTTTACAATGGTAGACTTATAAATGTGCAAGCATTAAGAATTAAGTTTATCTACAGGTAATCCTTGATGGTTTATTTAACATCTTAGTTCTTTTAATGCAATGGAAAGATAGACACAGGATTAGCAGACCTCACAACTTGTGGTTACCAAAAAGTAGTATTTGAAATTACAGTCAGTCTATGATGGTTTATAACAATGCACTGATCTTGTACAAGACCCTATAGGCTATGGTTTAGGAATGAGGGGTTATGTGCAGTGACTCTCACACTGGATTTCGTTAATTTGCACGTGTACATCCCACTCTTGGAACTGAAAAAAAAAAAAAAAACAAAACAAACGATATATAACAAAATAAATAAGAGAGAGAAAGAGGTAATGAAAAGTGCTCCGACCTCATTTCAGACATTAAAGATTGCGTGTGTGCGTGCGTGTACACAACTCTGTTACACATTGATCCACTCATCGGATTATAAAGAGTGTCAAATCCAGCAGTTGTCAGGAGAAAAATAATCCACATTGGAATGCAGTTTATTTTCAAAATGGAAATTGCATGTAATGCTGTCAAGGGCTTTGGTAAAAAAAAAAAAAAAAAAAAAAAACGGCGGACAAACCTGTTATGCTGGGTGGAGCTTTATCTAGACTCCACCCAGCTTATAATCTCAAAATGAATCCTACACCCACAATTCTTTTTTTTTTCCCTTGGAGAGAATGTCATCCAGCCATTACTCAACAAACAAGACACAGGATACTAGTTTTCAATAATAGCAAAAACTAAATTGGGAATTTTTAGTTTCATATCAAATAGTTAAAAACAAACTATAACAAAATAAACAAGTTGTCAATCCTGCTTCATACTGCTATAAATATAAAAGCTCAATTCAGGATTTTATGAAATGTGGGCTCTGAATTCCTGTCTTTTAAGACCGAAGAATAGAATCCCTTGGCAAGACCCACTATTCAAAATTCATCACGCTATCCGTAAAACCAAAATGGTCAAATCACAAAGCCAAAGAATATCTGAACTGAAACATTGTGATAAAAGTATTAACAGAGATTACAATATGATGAAAAGGTGCTGAAAAGTTCTTGCCCAACTGAGGGAGAGGAAAGGGGATAAAGAGGGAGTGACCAAACACCAGAATTATTTCCTTTTTTGGCTGGGCTCAGAACTTTTCGGCATTTCTGCCAAACCAGTTCAGAAATATCAAAACTGTTAGCTGTATACAACAACTTTTCAAAATCAATGGTTAAAATGGCTTTGAGCATTTTAAGCCATGGACATTTGTGAAGACCATCCATCTTCAAACCTGTGAACTGGTGCTACAGAATAACAAAGACCTGTAACAAATAGCAGAAACCATATCACTTGAGGACTTTCAGTCGCGGAAATAGTTAAAATGGATGTCACAAATGAAAACAATGACAATCAAGATGTTCCACACTGCTTCAAATAAAAGGTTAGGAAAGACCCCCCCCATCAATACTGGAAAGAGCAGTAACAGCTACTGGACATAAAAAATCTATTTTCCTGAAAATTGTTTTAAGAGAAAGATTTTATAAATTTTAACTGAAAGCAGCACTGGTTGCTCAGTCAAGGAAAGTCAAATGTTTCCTTATAAGGAAACGGCAAATATTACCATCATTAATAGTTTTTACTTATTTTCTTGAAACCAAAAGCAAGCTTCTAAGACATCCTTTATAGATGAATGGAGAGGGGGGGAGTGTCAAATAAAGTAGCTGTCAAAAATTATCAATAAATTGGCACGAGAGAAAATTATAATTATGAAAAATTTACCTGTCAATAAATTAGCACAAGAAATTTATTTATTGATAAATTTCTTTTGCTAATTTATCAATAAATTGGCCCGAGAGAAAATTATCAATGAAATGGCACGAGAGAAAATTATCAATAAAATGGCACGAGAGAAAATTATCAATAAAATGGCACGAGAGAAAATTATCAATAAAATGGCACGAGAGAAAATTATCAATAAATTGGCACGAGAGAAAATTATCAATAAAATGGCACGAGAGAAAATTATCAATAAATTGGCACGAGAGAAAATCATCAATAAATTAGCACGAGAAAATTATCAATAAATTGGCACGAGAGAAAATTATCATTATGAGAAATTTACCTGTCAATAAATTAGCATGAGAAATTTATTCATTCTAAAATGTCTGCCCTCACTGATTGAGGGTTAAGTGCAGAATCAAGTGAAATCTTGGCCCAACATCACATGATTATTTACTCCCTGTGTTGATGGGTGTTGCACTAACTAACACAAAAAGAAATGAAGTTTTCATTAGACTAACATTATATTTGAATGTCAATAGTTAAAGTTTGGGTGCTCAGGGTCCCTGAGACTCAATAAATGCATAACAAACAAACAAAATTGGGCAGGAAAACACCCCAGACCTAAAACTAGTTTCTAGATAACAGGAAATAGGAAGTACTAAACAATCTGACAGCAACTAATTTTTAAAACTTCATATATTTAACTGATCTCAACTTATTTTTTTTAATACAGAATACTGTAAAGTTTTTATCCTCAGACTATATAGCGCATACACATAATAAATAAATAAATAATAAATATATATATATTACAAATTAACTGATTTAAAAATATGGTTTCATCACTACACAGGAATTACAAAGTTTCAAAATTTGCTTGAAGATGAAACAGAACTAATGCTTTTAATTTAGTTATATAATTGAATTTGAAGTTTTTAGTTTCTGGTTTTGAAACATGGTAATTCCTGTGTAACAATGGAACCATATTTTTAAGTTAGTTAAGTTATAATATTTATGCTCTGTAAATTTATATTGAGCACTTTTTTGTAAAAATAAAAATATCAGTAAGAACACTGGATTATATATCTTATGGTTCTTTCTGTTTTTACTATAATATATATATATATATATATATATATATATATATATATATATATGTATGTGAATGTATATATATTATGAAATGGACTAAGCCCGACAATTATTTTAATATATTTTCTGTTTATATGTTATTTTTATAGATACAGATATTTGAGTAAATGCTCTGTTTATAATAAATGGTATTAACTACATTTACTGACCTGAATATCCAAGAAAATTCATAGAAAATATGTGTTCTCCAACTGAAATTAAATCGATATCCTACATGGAACAGTCATATACCCTGATTTGCCATTTAGCTACAGAGGAAGCATATGGTTAACAAAGTCAAATTACTGTTTTTTTTTTTTTTTTTTTGCATAGTCGCCATTACAGTCTATACATTCTTCAGATAGCCTTCCTTTCATGAGCTGACAGCTATACAGATCACTGTTGCTCCTGTTAAAGCCCATTACACACCATCTGTTTCGTCGCTATGAATATTCAGCCAGCATCAATGAAAGCAATTATTTTTTCATAGAAGAATTCACAAAAGATACTTCTGTGTCATATGTATATTCATGTCAGACTCCATTTTACCAAACTTATCTTTAACAAGGCAATATTTTTAAAAAATTATGGGTTATTGACAGTAAGGATCAGCTTCTTCTGCTATAAACACCAACATCCGCTACTGATATCTTGAGCCAACAGAATGCATTACTTTTTGGATAATGCCTTTTGGAAAGGCATGAATCTATTTTTCTCTATGCTGCCCCAAAGATATTTTGACAAAGTGTCTCATCATTTATGCCACAATGAATTAGTGTGAGAACTTGGTCAAACCCCTCTCCTGTAACTACTTTATTTGCTTAGGCAGTAGCAGCAAAAACTTATTCCAATGTCATGGCTCATCATAAAAGCAAGATTGAGTTCGATCTCTGGATCCTTCCAGATAGATAAGATATAAATACTGACATTACATGTCTTTGATTATGAAGAAAGTTCCCATTGGGAACCAAGGGAATGGATAGGTCAAAACACAAAAACAGTGTGGTAATCACAAGACTAAATCAATAATCAGAACAACTCTTAAAATCATAATGACATAGCAACATTACAGAAGGCATAATTCCAAAATAAACAAAAAAAAAAAAAAAAAAAATGAAGAGAGAAAAGTCAAGATGCTGATATGGACAGTTCAAAGTTATAATTTCTGAAAATCTGATATAGAAAAATCACAGTCCTAATTTTCAAAATCTTAAAAACCCAAATTAAGATCTGTTTTTAGCTCTTCCAAAATGTCAGCATGATCTGCTTATAAGCATTTTTTTTTTTTAATTACAGTATCAGATACAAAGGTAGTTCATGGAATTAGGTGGATGACAAGTGGTATGAGGCTCAAATTGATAACAGTTCATTACAGCCTTTTTCACTGAATGTTACACAATTTCAAGTTCCTCAGCTAAGACTTGAAAGCACATTTATTAAATTTTAGCATTATAATAAAGAAGCTTTTTTTAGCCAAATTAGAAGTTATTAAAAAAACATTACTTAATATTGTCTGGTAAAAGTAGTAGTAATAGTAGCACTGGTAGGTTATTAATCATTATGCAAACTTCATCTTTATCTGAATATAGGACTAAATTTTTTATTATTTTATTAGACTTCTGCTTGTCTCTCTCTTAGTTAGTGCAACCGTTATGCCCTACCAATACCTAATAAATAATGGACTATTCCATTTTGATCACCTGAAAAAAAAAAAAAACATGGTTGGAACTTGGTTTCAATGAGAAAATGAAAGGCAAGAAAGGCAGGCAAGAAAGGCAAGAAAGGCAGGCAAGAAAGAAAGAAAGGGAAGAAAGGCAAGAAAGGGAAGAAAGGCAAGAAAGGCAAGAAAGGCAAGAAAGGGAAGGCAAGAAAGAAAGAAAGGGAAGAAAGGAAGAAAGGAAAGAAAGGAAAGGAAGAAAGAAAAGGCAAAAAAAGGGGAAGAAAGGAAAAGGGAAGAAAGAAAGAAAGGCAAGAAAGAAAGAAAGGAAAGGGAAGAAAGGAAAGGGAAGAAAAAGAAAAGAAAGAAAGGCAAGAAAGGGAAGAAGAAAAGGGGAAGAAAGGCAAGAAAGAAAGAAAGGGAAGAAAGAAAGAAAGAAAAAAGAAAGGAAGAAAGAAAGGAAGAAAGAAAAGAAAGAAAAAGGAAAGAAAGAAAGGAAAAAGGCAAGAAAGAAAGAAAAGAAAGAAAGAAAGAAAGAAGAAAGAAAGGCAAGAAAGAAAGAAAGAAAGGAAGAAAGAAAGAAGAAAGAAAGAAAGAAAGAAAGGGAAGAAAGGCAAGAAAGAAAAAGAAAGAAAGAAAGGGGCAAGAAAGAAAGAAAGGGAAGAAGAAGAAAGAAAGAAAGAAAGAAAGAAAGAAAAAAGGCAAGAAAGAAAGAAAGGGAAGAAAGAAGAAAGAAAGAAAGGGAAAGAAAGGCAAGAAAGAAAGAAGAAAGAAAGAAAGAAGAAAGGCAAGAAAGAAAAGGAAAGAAAAAGGCAAGAAAAAAGAAAGGGAAGAAAGAAAGAAAGAAAGGGAAGAAAGAAAGAAAGGGAGAAAGGCAAGAAAGAAAGAAGGAAGAAAAAGAAAGAAAGGGAAGAAAGAAAAAAAAGAAAGGAAGAAAGGCAAGAAAGAAAGAAAGGGAAGAAAGGCAAGAAAGAAAGAAAGGAAGAAAGAAAGAAAGAAAGAAAGAAAGAAAGGCAAGAAAAGAAAGAAAAGGAAGAAAGGCAAAAGAAAGAAAGAAAAAGGGAAAGAAAGAAAGAAAGAAAGGCAAGAAAGAAAGAAAGGAAGAAAGGCAAGAAAGAAAGGCAAGAAAGAAAGAAAGGGAAGAAAGGCAAGAAAGAAAGAAAAGAAAGAAAGAAAGAAAGGAAGAAAGGCAAGAAAGAAAGAAAGGGAAGAAAGGCAAGAAAGAAAGAAAGGGAAGAAAGGCAAGAAAGAAAGAAAGGGAAGAAAGGCAAGAAAGAAAGAAAGGGAAGAAAGGCAAGAAAGAAAGAAAGGGAAGAAAGGCAAGAAAGAAAGAAAGGGAAGAAAGGCAAGAAAGAAAGAAAAAGAAAGGCAAGAAAGAAAGAAAGGAAGAGGCAAGAAAGAAAGAAAGAAAGGCAAGAAAGAAAGAAAGGAAGAAAGGAAAGAAAGAAAGAAAGGAAGAAAGGCAAAAAGAAAGAAAGAAAAAGGCAAGAAAGAAAAAGGGAAGAAAGAAAGAAAGAAAAGAAGAAAGAAAGGCAAGAAAAAAAAAAGAAAGGCAAGAAAAAGGGAAGAAAGGCAAGAAAAGAAAAAGAAAGAAAGGCAAGAAAGAAAAGAAAGGAAGAAAGGCAAGAAAGAAAGAAAGAGAGAAAGGCAAGAAAGAAAGAAAGAAAAAGGAAAGAAAGAAAGGAAAAAAAAGAAAGAAAGAAAGGAAGAAAAGGCAAGAAAGAAAGAAAGAAGAAAGGCAAAAGAAAAAGAAAGGGAAGAAAGAAAAGAAAGAAAGAAAGAAAGGCAAGAAAGAAAGAAAGGAAGAAAGGCAAGAAAGAAAGAAAGAAGAAAGGCAAGAAAGAAAGAAAAGAGAAGAAAAGAAAGAAAAAAGAAAGGCAAGAAAGAAAGGGAAGAAAGGCAAGAAAGAAAAAGAAAGGCAAGAAAGAAAGAAAAAGGCAAGAAAGAAAGAAAGGAAAGGGAAAAGAAAGGCAAAAAAGAAAGAAAGAAAAGGGAAGAAAGGCAAGAAAGAAAGAAAGGAAGAAAGAAAAAGAAAAAAGGAAGAAAAAAGAAAGAAAGGAAGAAAGAGAAAGAAAGGGAAGAAAGGCAAGAAAGAAAGAAAGGAAGAAAGGCAAGAAAGAAAGAAAAGGAAGAAAGGCAAGAAAGAAAGAAAGAAAGGCAAGAAAGAAAGAAAGGGAAGAAAGGCAAGAAAGAAAGAAAGGGAAGAAAGGCAAGAAAGAAAGAAAGGGAAGAAAGGCAAGAAAGAAAGAAAGGGAAGAAAGGCAAGAAAGAAAGAAAGGGAAGAAAGGCAAGAAAGAAAGAAAGGGAAGAAAGAAAGAAAGGGAAGAAAGGCAAGAAAGAAAGAAAGGGAAAAAGGGAAAGAAAGAAAGGAAGAAAGAAAAAGAAAGAAAAAAAGGAAAGAAAGAAAGAAAGGAAGAAAGGCAAGAAAGAAAGAAAAAGGGAAAGAAAGGAAGAAAGAAAGGGAAGAAAGGCTCGAAAGAAAGAAAAAGGCAAAAAGAAAGAAAAAAAGGCAAGAAAGAAAGAAAAGGGAAGAAAAGGAAAGAAAGAAAGAAAAAGGAAAGGAAGAAAGAAAGAAAAAGAAAAAAGAAAGGGAAGAAAGGCAAGAAAGAAAGAAAGGGAAGAAAGGCAAAAAGAAAGAAAGGAAGAAAGGCAAGAAAGAAAGAAAGGAAGAAAGGCAAGAAAGAAAGAAAGGCAAGAAAGGCAAAAAGAAAGAAAGAAAAGGCAAGAAAGGAAAGGAAGAAAGAAAGAAAGAGAAAGGAAGAAAGGAAAGAAAGAAAGGAAGAAAAGAAAGAAAGAAAGGGAAGAAAGGCAAGAAAGAAAGAAAGGGAAGAAAGAAAAGAAAGGGAAGAAAGGAAAGAAAGGGAAGAAAGAAAGAAAGGGAAGAAAGGCAAGAAAGAAAGAAAGGGAAGAAAGGCAAGAAAGAAAGAAAAGAAAGAAAGAAAGGGAAGAAAGAAAAGAAAGAAAGGGAAAAAGGAAAAAAGAAAAAGGCAAGAAAGAAAAAGAAAGAAAGGGAAGAAAGGCAAAAAAAGGCAAGAAAGAAAGGGGAAGAAAGGCAAGAAAGAAAGAAAGGAAGAAAGGCAAGAAAGAAAGAAAGGGAAGAAAGGCAAGAAAGAAAGAAAGGGAAGAAAGGCAAGAAAGAAAGAAAGGGAAGAAAGGCAAGAAAGAAAGAAGGGATGTGTTTAATGGCTGTTTCAATGAAATAGATAAAGTTATCAAACTATTTGTACCCTCTTACTTCTTAAAATAATGACCAGCATCCATATTTATGCTTGTTATTGCAATATTTTGTTTAAAGTTAAGCTCAAATAATTAACAATGTGATCAGATAGGGTAATGTTTATATCTATTTTACTGTCGTAGAGCTCACCACAAGTTTATTCAGTCATTAACTTAAGACTTAGGATTCAACAGAAATTTAATATCGGAAACCCATTTAATTTTCATGGTTATTTCTATTGAGTAATGTTTATCATCCAGATCATAAAAATATATAAAAATTTTAAAGAAATTGGCCATGTTTGCCCCAGAAAATTCTTCCTATGATAAAAAAGAAAAAAATAACCTCAAAGGGGAACGAAGAGAGAGAGAGAGCGCGTCAAAGGGGAACGAAGAGAGAGCGCGTCAAAGGGGAACGAAGAGAGAGCGCGTCAAAGGGGAACGAAGAGAGAGCGCGTCAAAGGGGAACGAAGAGAGAGCGTCAAAGGGAAAACGAAGAGAGAGCGCTCCAAAAAAACGGAAAAAACGAAGAGAGAGCGGCCAAAGGGGAAACGAGAGAGAGAGCGAGAGAGGCAAAAGGGAACGAAGAGAGAGATACGGAACAAAGAGAGAGTGGCCAAAGGGGAAACAAAGAGAGAGAGAGAGCGAGGCCAAAGGGGAAACAAAGAGAGGGAGAGAGCGGGAAAGGGGGAACAAAGAGAGAGGGAGAGAGAGAGGCCAAAGGGGAACAAAGAGGGAGAGAGTCTCAAAGGAAACCAGAGAGGGGAAGTCAAAGGGAAACAGAGAGAGAGTCAAAGGGAAACCGAGAGAGTCAAAAAACCCAGGGAGTCTCAAAGGGAAACCGAAGAGTCAAAGGGAAACCGAGAGAGTCTCAAAGGGAAACCGAGAGAGGGGAGAGAGAGCAAAGAAACCGAGAGGAGAGAGTCTCAAAGGGGAACAAGAGAGAGGAAACTGAGAGAGAGAGAGTCTCAAAGGGAAACCAGAGGGAGAGAGAGAGTCTCAAAGGAAACCGAGAGAGAGAGAGAGTCTCAAAGGGAAACCGAGAGAGGGAGAGAGAGTCTCAAAGGGAAACCGAGAGAGGGAGAGAGAGTCTCAAAGGGAAACCGAGAGAGGGAGAGAGAGTCTCAAAGGGAAACCGAGAGAGGGAGAGAGAGTCTCAAAGGGAAACCGAGAGAGGGAGAGAGAGTCTCAAAGGAAACCGAGAGAGGGAGAGAGAGTCTCAAAGGGAAACCGAGAGAGGGAGAGAGTCTCAAAGGGAAAAACTGAGAAAGAGAGTCTCAAAGGGAAACCGAGAGAGGGAGAGTCTCAAAGGGAAACGAAGAGAGAGTCTCAAAGGGAAATGAAGAGAGAGTCTCAAAGGGAAACGAAGAGCGAGAGAGAATCTCAAAGAGCAAGATAGTATTAAAGGGGAGAAGGAGTGAGAGTGTCTCAAAGGGAAAGAGAGTATTAAAGGGGAACAAGGAGTGAGAGAGCCTTAAAGAGGAAGGAGATGATAAATTTGAGAAAATGGAAGAGTAATTTGTCAAACTGATTATAATTTTAGGTTGGGTTTCAAACATGACAGTTAAATTAAAAAGAGGAAAGATGAGAGAATATTATTTTTTGGGGGGGGAACTTGAATCAGATTAATTATGGAAAATTGAAAGAGCAGAAAAATAAATCTTGGAGATAAACAGAGAAGTAGGAAATAAATGCAACACATGATATCAAAAGTATGATTTATTATTTAAACACATTGTATGTTCCATTAAATATTTATTGACACAGTAAATTTTCAACAAAAGAAAAAAAATTGAAACTTAAATTTTAGTGGCAATTCTATTGAAAGAATTTTTTGTAGGCAAGAATTTCACCTTTCTGATCACAGACTTTACCATTACTCCTTTTTCATAGGTTAAACTAAATATCTTGGAGAGCAGGTAAGATGAAAAACTATGAAATTTGACCCAAAAATTGTTTGTAGCAAGTTTCATCTATCAACCTTTAGAATGTGCATCAAAAGTCAAAAACCAAAAATATCAATAAATTAAGGCAATTATCACGAACAGGAGATGTGCAGACAGTGCAACACTTATCAGTGGAGACAGTGAAACTTGCGAGTTGAGCCCAAATTTCCACCACGTCTGTTGCATTCATTTTGGGACAAATGCCTCTACTATGATTTAAGTAGCAGAGAAGAATGAGCTCTCTAGAACTGAGTGACAACCAACCTAAGAGAAAGAAAACTGAAATCATAATTATGGACAAGGCAATAAGAAACCATAACTCCCTTTCCTAAAAAGTCATGGCAATTAGCGGATAATACAGAAAAGAAATTTGGGCAAAGCCATGACATGATAAAAATTACAAGCAAAATAGAATACACAAGCATAATCTATATATAAAATTCTGTGACTCCCGTTTGTACATCTGTCACGCCCTCTAAAATAGCTATACACTGACCAATCTAAACCAAATTTTGGGGAGAAGTTAAAACAGGTAAGAGGGTACAGAGTACAGTTGGTTTTACTAGGGTGCATAGATTAGTATTAGGTTGGTGCAAAAATAATGATGTAATAATGTCGTTTTTGACGTATAACGTCAAAAAACGACATTATTACGTCATTATTTTTGCACCAACCTAATACAATAAATTTTCATTAATTTTTTTGAGAAAAATTAAGTTTTATTATTTAACAAAGTACTCCCACTATTTAAAAAATATTTAATAATGAAACTAACAATTACTTATTTAATAAAAATGTAATATTGTTTTTTTTTTTTCATATCCTTTCTTTAAATTTGCTCGATATTCTAATAATTTATTTTCTTTAAGTTTTTATATACAAGAATCCAGTTTCCAGTTCACTGTGTTTGCAAGAACTAAAAAGCAAATTACAAGGGCAAATGCTCTTCATATACATTATAACATGCAAAGGTTGCCCCGCACACTACATTGGTCAAACCAGCTGGACACTCCAACAACAGATGACAGGTCATCACCAACAAATTAGGGATCCTCATATTAGGAAAATACTCCTTAGCCAACATATAGAGGAATATGGAAAATGAAACCTACCAAACTTTAGTCTTTTCCGATTCTACCAATACAATTACAATACTTCTGAACAAAAGCACATTAACATAGAAACATTTTTTTTATCTTTTATTCTTTTTTTTGTGCCATGTTCTTTCAGGATGTAGGCAATCATGGCTCTCCATCTCTCTCTCTCTCCCTTGCAGCTCTTAAAAAGTTCCTTCCTTTGCTTCCTCCCCCAGACCACGTTCTGTCATGCACTTGCTTAAGCCTGCCAGATATGTCACGCATTGTTTTCCCTCGTCTCTCTTTCCCTCTCTTCGACCCATGAGTATCAGATTCTCTAGGCCCTCCATCCTCATTATGCGTCCCAGAAACTTCAGCTGCCTCTTCCTGATATTAAGTATAAGCCTACTACTTATTTGCAACCTTTCTAAGACTGCAATGTTGCTCACATGCTTGGTCCATGACATCCTTAGCATCCTTCTGTAGAACCACATTTCTGTCACCTCAAGTATTCTTCATCTCTGAGGAAATCGTCCAACATTCAGTCTTGAAGGAGGACAGTAGTCTTTTCTTTGTTACCAAAGAAATCCTCTTGTTTTGCAATACTTTGCCCAGTTTTTGGAATATATCTTTGACTATCCCAATATGTCTACAGATCTCAGTGTCGCATTTACTGTCCTCTGTCAAGACGATTCCCAGCAGTAAATTTAAACCAAAACTCAATTCATTACACAAACCAGACGTACATCCCTCAAAATAGATTATATCATATTTTCCTTATCATAAGCTACAGATAAAACCAGTTACGCTCCTTGAATTATTTTTTTTTTATTCCAGACTTAAGCATCAGCACGTGGTAATCTAATAAACATCTATAAACTTTTTGAAAAGATAAAAGTGAAACTGGTTAAAGTAAAATTATTTTTTCTGAAAACCTACATGTAAGCAAACGAATTTTAATAATTCTCTGTAAACATAAATAAACTGTAAATATTACATATAAATCTAAAACAATGGATATTTTTTCCAAATCTTATTTTCTCTATACAGCAAGTTTTTAACACATTCACTTTTTACATACACACTTTTTATATATATATATATATATATATGAAAAGAGGTTAAAACTTGAAGTAGGTTATAATGAGATTAAAACAATGGTGAGTGAGGCCTTTTTTAAGCTTGAAAATTTTAATCTGAATGATGAGTTACATCTTGCAACAGGATGGCATTGATTGTTGTTAGATACTCTCCATAGAGAAAAGCAACCCCATTCGGTACCCACCCTTCATGACAACTCAGAAATCTGAGGGCTGCATATAGACAATAGGGGGAAAAAAGTTTACCAGTTACATATATAGATAATGTGCATGTTTGTTATATATATATATATATATATATATATATATATATATATATATATATATATATATATATATATATATATATATATATATATATATATATATGTGTATATATATATATATGTGTGTGTATATATATTATTATTATTAAATGGAGTAAGTCCGACAATTATTTTAAGACATTTTCTTTTTATGCATTCTTTTTATAGATACAAATATTTAAGTAAATGCTCTGTTTTATAATAAACAATATTAAACAACATTTACCAGCCTGAATGTCCGAGAAATCTTCATAGAAAATTTTCCTCCTCCGGTAAATGTTGTTTAATACTTTTTATTATAAAACAGTGCATTTACTTAAATATTTCTATCTATAAAAAGAATGTATAAACATAAAAAAATGTCTTAAAATATATATATATATATATATATATATATATATATATGTATTCAAGCAGGTTTGGTTAAATAATTTAAAGGTATTATATCTATTTTAGTTTTAATTCTCTCAAGTACATGAATTAATTTCTTGGTGTCTGTAGAAATTCTTTTTTCAAATAATTCTTATTTTCCCTAAGTACTTTCAATCTCATCTGATACCATCTTCAGAGGGTTAAAATATTTGTGGATGTATATCCAGTAGTTCCATAAATTCAAAATAATTTTTTTTTCCCATTGTTTGTTTACAGCTGTTCAAAATTTGAATTTTGCAAGGGAGGTAATTTTTATTTTAAAATCTAAAAAATGAAAACGTTTTAGTTATATTTTAATTTAGTATTTTATATTAAACTATACTAACATTTAAGAAGTTTTTGCTATACTCATAGCTGACTTTATTTATTTTGGGTCACAATTTTCTTTTATAAAGAGCTTCCAGTTTTTGCTTATTATTATTTTGATGAAGTACTAATGTATTTTTGACTAATATCTACTGTGAATGTGGACATGAGTGTTCCTTCACATGTCCTGATATTGAACTATGCTCATTCAAGTGAAACGCAAGCCATTTTGTTAACATCGTCATAAAACCAACATATGCATTAACATTTTTATCAGAGATGTAATCTTCCAAAGGACATTTAAATTGATATACAATTTTGGTCTTTTGTAAGAAGCTAGTTGATGGAGAAGAATTGTTTTGGATGACGAGGTTGGTTGTATTAAATTTAGTGTAATGTATAATTTTTTTTTTTTTTTTTTAATGTATCAGTGAGTGCTACTGTATACACATCCACAGATATTTTAACCCTGTTAAGATGGTTTCAGATGAGATTGAAAGTATTTGTGAAAATAAAAAAAAATATTTAAAAAAAAAAAAAAAAAAAAAAAAAAATTTGTACTTTTTCTTAATTTTCTACAGCCACCAAGAAATTCATGGACTTGAAAGGATTAAAACTAAAATAAATAAACATAAATTGTTGGTTGAAATAATCCAGTGACTTGACCCAAAGAGTTGTGAGTTCAATACCTGGCCACAGCAGAGGTGGACAAAAAATTTGGAAAACTGAATTAATAAAAGGGAGATAACTGAAACTGAAATATCCAGAAAAGGCATGGCAAGTAGAACTAGAACAATCTACCCCGGTGGACGAAATAAAGGGTTGTGTTCGAAATTCCAATGTATATCACATGAAGAAGGCCAGAGCGTACAACAGCCAAAACAGAGATTATGACAATAAAGAGGAGGACAATAGTCTGAATAATGTAAATAATGTAAATACTTACAATACCTCATTTCAGAAATATAGACAGATATAAATACTTGATTTTTAAACCAGTTTCAACTTTGTTTCTTTATCATGGTTTATATCTCTCACATTTTTTCAATACTAACTTTTTACAAAGAGATGGCATACTGAAACAGATGGCATATAGGAATAGGCCAGTCATAGACTAATCATAGGAAAATCATAGATTTATTTCTTCAGCTATCTGAACACAGTGCTCTATAAGCATTTCCAGGTGTTTAATTCATTCAGTGTTCGCATTTTTATAGTATAATGTGTTGTAACCTAGAAAGGGTTACTGAATGAAGAATAACCAAAACGGAGGTTGGAAGTGAAATGGTAATCTTTATAACATCAGCAAAATACAATACTCGCCAGCGGCATCAAGTAGGTAAACCACTGCTAGTGGTGGACTACTTAGACACACATATTACCCCCACTTACAA